ATAAAAATAAATAAATAAAAATAAAAGCAAATAAATTAGCATTATATTTATTCTTCTTTTTATTCAGACTTAAAAAAAAAAAATTTTTATTAATTTATTTTTGTAACTTGGCCCTCTCACTACTCCATAGATTTTGGCCCATAAAGTTGCTCCAGGAAGTTCTGGTCCTGGCCGGACTCACCCAGGATGACGCCGCAGCACATGAGCGCTCTGAGGGACGTGGTCTGCTTCAGGACCCCGTAGGACAGCAGCACGTTGAACACGGTGCTCAGGGACCGGCCCACCGTGTAGAAGGCCACGCCGACGTACTTGAGACACAGGTTGTTGAAGGTGATCATGCCGATGAAGACCACCGACAGCGGCAGCACCTCCCGGGACGTCTTCACGTCGAACCGGACCGCCGGGAAGTCGACGAGCCGCGGGCACATCCTGGACAGCAGCTGCATGAGCCAGCACAGGCCGACGGTGACCGCGCACTGGAAGAAGGTGACGAAGAGCGGCGCGTCCAGGTCCCGGTTGTCCAGCAGGTAGTTGTTGAGGAACACCATCGTTATGGACACGAACCAGTACAGAACCACCACGGCCGCTATCCGGACCGCCCGCAGCACGAACGTCTCGCCGTCCGGGTCCGTCGCCTCCGAGCCGGCCAGAGCCATCCTCAGGATACTGGACCGCTTCAGCTGGGTCCGGTTCATGGTTACAGGGACAAAGGACGGTTCTGTGGGTCAAAACCGGAGCCTTCACATGACCCGGAATGCAGGAACTCAACCAGCAGCAGCAGCTCGAGCAGAAACACAACCGGCGGTAACAACACTCACGCCCTCAGCCTCGCTCCTTCAGAATAAAAGCGCAACCCAAACCAGGTTGTTAGTTTCCGGTCATTAAGCGAAACCTAAGAACACATTTCAGCCTTTTCCGGCCTTTTACTCACAACACTTTAAAAACTAAATAAGATTTGACTTCACAAGCGAAAAATATTAGTTTTCCAAAGTGTCTTTGCTTTTATCCTGAAGGGTATGCGCACAAACCGGGGGAATCGTTACTTCCTTGTTTGAGTGACGTCATTTGATTTAAAGAGACACACACATTCAAATCGTGCTGTAGATTTGAATAACAAAATAACAAAAAGGAGGTTGTTCTGGTTCTCCAAGTCCAATTACAGAATATAACTCTGTGTTCTCTCTTTAAACTGTGTGCGTCCTGCAATCTGGGTGCAATTATCCATCATGCACTAACTGTACATGTGGCAGGTGTACATAGTCTTCATTATTATCTGTATTTGAATTCATCTAGCTGCTTTAATGTGTTAATTACCCCAGTTAGTGGGTCTGTAAAACTTCTCTTATCTTGTGTTTGTAATTATGGTAATTACATACATAACATTTGTAAATAACTTTTGTTGTTTTCTTTTTATGACTAACGATCTAAAATCTTGTTTTTATGCCACCGATCATAATAAGCAAATTCTCCTAACTCAATGTAGTTTGCTGATTAAACATAATTTAATTAGAAGTTGTCGTAATGCAAAAAGATTGATTGCATTTCTTTGTATACAGCTGAATAAATAAATATGCATCCTATTTTTTTGGAACAATACCAACACAAATTCCTTATTGTTTGTTTTCAGTGTGATTTTTATAACTACACATATTCAGTAGCAGGTATTTCTAGTTCACTGCACAAAAGCTTCCAGACAGCAGGTGGCAGCAAATGATCACCAGTGCTGATTCTGTCTCTGGCTGCAGGATAGGGAACTCAAAGGGACACAGAACTTGTGCACATATGACATGACTGCTGCTGATGGTATGTATGACTTTTGTTTAGTCTTTAGTGGGGAATAGTCTGCAACAGAGACCACAGGGCAGCAATGCTAAACGCCACGACTAGCTGTTTGAATTCATACACATTCTCATATGGATTATCAGAATCAGAATCAGAATCAGAATCAGTTTTATTGCCAAGTAATTTTTACATCACCAGGAATTTGACTTGGTCCATTGGTGCAAAGAAGCAGAAGAAAATATATTTATATACATATATATACACTTGCTTATGAGCAGTGCTTATGTTATGTTATAACATCCACTTTTTTATATCTGCAGCTCTTCAGCATGTTTCAAATATGAGGTACATCTAATATAAGGTACACCGACGGAAACTAATGCAAAAAAATCCTGCAATTAATCCCCCTTTGTGGTTGTTAAAACGTACAGGTTATGTTGAAGCAGTTCAGGAGATGTGATCTTAACTGTATGATCATTTTGGAGGATGGAATTAGTGGTGCTTTAATTAGGTGTTTCTGTTATTTAGTCCAGCCTCCGTGGTTAACATAAAGTGCTCAGACTAGCACAAACATGTCAGCACAGCACGATATGATTCAATAGAAACTGTGCACATACAGTTGGTATTAACAGCTAAATAAGTTTAAGCCAGACAGAACATGTGTTTCAGGATCAGACTGCAATAGTTGTTTTTAGCTCAGTGTTCCTAATAATGTGGCAGCTGACTGTGAAGGCCTTTATATTCCTGTTTTTGTTTGAAAGGGAGGAAATAAAGATGCAGATTCAAACCATGCAGTGCTTCAGCAATCCACAAGGGCACCTACATGTAGGGTTTATATTAGGATGTGTTTAATTACACTTAAGGCTCTGCTTCACTTTTTTTTCCCCTCATTTCATTTAAGTGGGCTGTTGAGCTTTTACACCACCGCTGCAAAATTACTCTTTTATTCCTCGGCCTTATCTGTATATCTCTACTCATCTCATATATCAGCTGCATCTGCAGACTGCACCGCCTGTCTGCCTTTTTCATGAATTTTCCTAAAATAGGCCTGCAGCCTTGATAGCCTAATGGTGGATCTTTTTTCTTTTTCTTTTCTTAAAGAGAGAGATGATACAGAAAGTTTAACTTGTGCTTCACTTTCCGGCGCAGCCTTCGTCCTCCTGCTGTCATCGTTCTCCTGTTCCACAGTTGCAGGCTTGCTCAGCTGCTGGAAAATTGCTGTAAGTGAGTGCTGTTTGTTGGAGTTATATTTTCTGCTACAGCACACAGCAAGTCACTTTGCCGGTGCGCCGGGGTTAGCCGCTGAGTTGGTAAGCTATGCCCATGGACCCGTACATGCTCTCAGCGAGAATAAAACTCCATCTTTCTCGCAAGAACACAGAGGTAGAATGCGTGCAGCCTGATTCGGCCGGTACAGCTCATCCATCTGTGGGTGTCTGACCCCTCATTGTGCTCCTCTTTGCTCAGGTTTTGGAAGGTGGAGAAATGCCTCCCTGCAGCCGATTCAATATTCACAAAACGCTCTGCCTCCCTGACCCCTGCCAGCTGGGGAGCTTTCCACACTTTATTAGCAAGCACGAAAATGGAGGAAGATGTGGCAGGTGGCGGCTTGGATCATGAAACTTCTGGAGCATCAATGCGGCGCCTTTATGTAACTCTGCAGCGTAATGCTAATAAGATATAGCAAACAAACGGATGAAAAGATGAGATACGCAGGGTGACACGGTTCTTACATATGATATGTGGCAGCTCCTAGAGGAGAGTGTTGGATTCAGGATCTCAAAATAAAAGGCGATAATAATTAATTAACTCAAGGAAACACCTAAAAACCCACCGACGAGCTTGAAAGGCTCGTTTTCCTAAAAGAAAATATTAAAAAATTGCCAATGAGACACAATTTACTGGAGCCAGAAACTGTGAAAACAGAAAGAATTGTTTGATTTTTAACTTCCTGATTGTCCGTGAACTCCTGGAAAACTGCAGTGTTTCATCAAAATCACTTTATCTTACCTGTCCTGGTTAAAAATGTGCCAAAAATAAAGCATTTGACTGAACCAGATTCTGTAAAAACAAAAATGATTTGCTTCTTATCACAAATGTAAAATCACTAGTGACTCGGCTGTAATCAGCGGTCTCAGGATTTTTCGGCTGAACTGCAGGCAGTGTTTAAACGGAGCAGGTAGGAAACAAGAATGGAATTGAATTAAAAATGTAAGTACTTAAATACCAAATTGTTTCCCAGCTTAGGTAATAATATCATAATAATAATAATAGGTTTATTTATAAAGTGCTTTTTAGAAAACAGGGTTACAAAGTGCTTTCACATAATCCAAACGATAAAAACACAATTTTGATCAAATATGGTGCAAAGCTAATGTGATGCAATTTAAAAATGAGTTCAAACAAACATGTATACATACAACAGCACATGAAAAGCACAGGAAAGGAGGCTAGAGAGAGGACAGGAAAGACATAACAACGACACCTTAAAGGAAGGCTAGCTTATAAAAGTGTGGTTTTAGCAGTTTTTTATTAAAAGGACTCCACAGAGTCAGCAGATCTAATTGCAGCAGGCAGATTGTTCCAGAGCTGAGGAGCAACAACCTCAAAAGCACCTCTAGATTTAAAACGGGAGCGAGGAACAACCAAAGAGGCCTTGATGGTTGGATTGGCGAGGTCGGCTGGCAGAGTAAGGAGAAGGTAGCACCTGTTGGCACTTAAACATGTTGAGTCCAGTTTTTTTTTAAACTGTTTTTTAAAAAATAACTTCTAGTGTCACGCTGCACAAAAGACGTGTTTCAGCGCTAGCCACAGTGTCTATAGCGGTGCAAAACGAGGCCACAGAGAGTCAACACCCAGAAGCTGGTTGGGTTTCAGAAGGTTAATAGCCCCGTAGCTAATTTATGCTTAAAATTAATTGTGTGGCTTTTCTGCTCTACATCTTTACAGTCCATCTATATCCTTTGATTTGTCACGAAGACCACTGGCTGCACATCAACCAGAACACAGAACTGCTTTCAAAGTCTGCAGCTTAACTGTAATTCAGTAAAAAAAAATGTGACTTTGGCAATTAACACACAGGGATAATCTCACTACGATAACGCTACAGAATGCGACGTACAGCTCTGTCAGATGTTCGGGGAATTTTACAACTCGGCTGTCGTATTAATTCGACTCACAACGGAGCTTTTTTTTTTTTTTTTCTCACTGTAAACACAACATTTCACTTATCCTCCAGATGGCCCCTTTTACCACAGGAGGTGATCTGTGAAGCCTGCCGCGCTTCTTCCAGACAGCGAACACATTTTGTGAAGCATCCTTTAATCTGCGCAGTACAGACATGTGGCTTTACATTGAGCTACTGTTGCATATTGTCATCGCGGAAACAAATGGTGCTCCTCCTGTTTTTTTTTTGTTTTTTTTTAAATGATTTATTACCTTTAGTGTAAATCTCCTGTAAGCTTGAACTGACTGGATGCAGCCACGGCAGCGAAACAGCCGAACAGAAGCCTACATGCAAACATCAAGGGCATCATTTATGGACTCTTCTCTCATGCCGTCCATTAAATGTTAGGAGTGTCATTCAGCGAACATCTGCGAGGGATGATGGAATGACATAAATAGCATCATCTCAATGCCTCTCTGTTGCATTTTGCACTACATCATTGGAACGCCGCCGCTGCCGTGTGCACGGGAAACATATTGATCGGTACCGGAAGGCACGGAAAGAGGAATGCGTTCTCAGAACCATGAGCAGTTTTATTATGAATATTGAGGAGAAGCAGGACAAGCTTAACAAACCAGCTCACGGCGGCTGGCTTTAGGCTGACCTTTACTCCTAACTGGAACATACTGGCTCAGGTGAGGCAGGTGCAAGCAGCATGCAACACATGACGCCATAAAACTGGGCTCGAGATTTATTATTTTGGCATTTTCTCTTTGCATTGTCTCGACTGGAACATCCTTGGCCTCTCTTTGTGCACGGTCTGCAACAACAACGTGTTTCCTCGATGACATCATAAAAAAGCAGCGGCGTT